TCTAGCCTTTCCTCCTCCAACTTGTTGCATGCGGACAGACATTTCGATCAAACAACCGTATGACGCCTGGGTAGTTCGTACGGAAGTGCTCAAGAAGTGATAAAACTGCTTCCCCCCCGGTACATCTCCGATATGGCATCGTTTCCGCCCCAGTCGACCCTTGAGCCGACAGGAATGACGGTCCCAAAGCCGATCTTTACCCCCCTGGCTTACAGGGACGCCAAGATGACCACCGGAAGATCGATGGCCGAGGTTCCTTCTGCTTATCCCCACGTCTGAATCTCTGTGCTCCCATTTTGTAGATTTTTCCCTGGGGATGCAACGCTGCCAGGGGCACCGCTACCGGGCCCCTACCCCCTCGATTCAGCCCCGAGACAGGCACAGGTGGACAGCAAGCTCCAGGATTCTGAAGACTTGACCGTTTGGTGACACAGCAACCGCGATGCGCGCTACTGCCTTGTACTTAATAAACCAAATCCACTCTTGCTTGTCTGTGACCGATCATTGCTTTGGTGTGAGGGGTCCTTGCTCGGTTGTGATCAATTCTTGCCCGTGGTGTGATCGATCAATGCGGGGACGGTTACCGTTTCGCGTCTGCCCCGCAACCTGGTTGCTTTAAAAACTGGTTGCGATCATTAAACTGCTTGTATTGGCTCTGTGGTTCGCTCGACACTCCGCTTATTTCCATGACCCACCAGCCGTTGAGACGTATTTACCTTCCATCGTATAGTTGATAGAGATTACGTGACCACAGTATTATGAACGGCAACCGTGGTTCTTGTCCCTTCCGAAGTTTTCTCTTCCATTCCAACCTTGCGGCATACGAATGCCAGCAATGTATCGTTCAGCGTTATAAAGGGCCGGATCAAGGCACGCACAGCGAGACATGGATGTAGTCTTTGCCATCGACTTGAGATGCGGTTTTAGCAATTATTGAGAAGTGTTTGTGACTCCTCACAATCGCATGTGTGAAATGTCTGGTTTGGGTAGAAGTCGAGTATGGCCCCTGTTTCGGGGGAAGGAAAAAAAAAAGGAAAAGAGAGAGAGAGAGACAGGGAAATGAGAGAAATTCCGGTTAGAAAATGGATTTATGTCATTTGTTTGGCATGCATCAGAACAGAGAGGAAGTTTGTTTTCCAGCCAAAATATCAAACACGGGCAATTTATGGTAAGCAGACATTGGCTCAGACTTCATTCATGGAACGAAGACGCGTGCAGCATAGTAAATAAAAGATGTGTTCTTTATTGCCCTCCCTTGGTGAAGAGTCTACTAGTAGAAACATGCTGTCACGGCGATGTCCTCAGCACGTGCACAAATGCGCGATTAAGATGCGCCACAGACATTTTACAACGTATGGCAGAATTGCAAGTAATGCAAGGAATGCGACAAGATTGGTGAGGGGGTGTAGTGCGACGTGTAGGAGACTCAGCACTTGAAGGCGGTATTCCGTCAAGGCCCATTGTTATCCTCTTCATGGCACTATTTCCCCACATCCCACGGGACAGGACAAGCGAAAAGGATGTACTGGGTTGCCTTCTTTTTAGCTTTTTTGTCATCAGGTGCCGAGACTTTGGTATTTGCAGCATCTCCCTTCTCCTTGACCCTGGGGCCGTCGAACCTCTCCCTCTCCATCTCTCCCTCGTCCGCCCTGCCCCCACCGGTCTCCCTCAAGCGCTTGTTCACCATTCCGTTGAGCCACGTGGGTTTCCGCTACCAAAATAGATTCCTATCCCCGCCCTATGTCGACCCGGGAACGGGAGGGGTGGTCGAGGGCGGGTAAGCACCCATCGAAGCTTGGATGCGATGAGGGGTTGGGGGGGCCAGGGGATGAGGAGGGAGGACTGGACTCGTTCCGTTATTTTCTGGGTTCGATAATGGAAATTCCATGGACGCGGTATCCTGCGATTGATTTCATACATCTGCCCTGACGCGTGTCCCTCCCT